GTTATTAACGTAGCTGAATTTGCGTACCTTAGTTTGAAGTGGGGGGTTAGTGTGGACCAGGCCCTAGAGCCCATTTCAAAGCCCACTTTAGCCAACAGGTGGATTTTCATTGACTTCAGTGGTCTTTGGATCAAGCCCAAAGAGAATAAGTAGACTCCGTAATTACAACAAGCAAACAAATCCTTCATATGAGTAAAAATAAGCTTTATGAACTTGAATACAGTAATTAAATCTTAAAATGTAATTTTATAAATCATTAACAATGTAAATGCATTTGCTTATGAAGTACAATTCTAATAATTTAGAAAAAATGGTGGTAAAAATTCTTACACATTTTTCAAATTCTAATTTATCAGCTGTTCTCACCAAAATTCCCATCACTGGGAAGCACAGTCATTCTGTAATCTTCTGGAAGTGTGATGTCTTCAGGTCTGCTCTGATTCAAAGTAAAGTGTTCAGCAACATCAATGGCACTAATGAGAAATGTAAAGATACAAAAAACAACATGAATTGAAACCCATTGGCCATGTTGCTGCAAGGCAAAAAGCTTGTAACCTGAGGGTTCTCAAACTTCATATGTTTTTCTTTAAAGACAAAAAGCAATAAATTACTACTTTTTAAGGCTCCAAAACACCCCAGCTGATGTCAACTCTTGTTCAGGGAGAAAGGCAATCTCCTAGGCGACCAGAACCCAAACCACTTAGGGCTTTATTGATTAAAACTGACACTTCTAATTGCATCTAGAAGCTAAAAGGAAGACAGCATAGCTACTGGAAAATAGATGCTATATATTCCCTACATTTGATACCTTGAAGCAAACAGGCAGCTACCTTCTGTACTTGCTGAAGCTTCTAGGTAATCTTCAAAGAAGTTTGCACAGCACATTAAATAATCTAGTCTCAAAGTCGCAGAGGTACAATGACTATGGTAAGGTCCACACTGGAGAGAAAAGCATTTAGGGAATATCTTCACTACCAACGTTAAAGCACTGCCGCGGCAGTGCTTTAATGTGGCTGTGTAGTCGTGGCACCAGCACTGGGAGAGAGCTCTCCCAGCACTGTAAAAACCCACCCTGACGTGGGCAGTAGCTACCAGCACTGGGAGTGCGGCTCCTAGCGCTGGTGCAATGTCTAAACTGCCACTTTACAGCACTGACTCTTGCATTGCTCAGGGGGGTGTTTTTTCACACCCATGAGCGAGAAAGGTTCAGCGCTGTAAAGTGGCAGTGTAGACAAGGCCTTAGATTAATGCACTGAGGGCAGGTCTTCTCTACCCGCCGGATCGGGGGATTGATTTATAGCGTCTTGTGTAGACGCAGATAAATTGATCCCCAAACACGCTTTCCGTCGACTCCGGAACTCCAGCTCGCGAGAGGCGGAAGCGGAGTCGACGGGGGAATGGCAGCGGTCGATTCGCCGCCGTCCTCACAGCCAGGTAAGTCGACCTAAGATACGTCGACTTCAGCTACGCTATTCGCCCCCCCGCCCCACCCCCCTGGGCTTAAAAGAGGAGCTACTGGCTACTGACACTACTTCCAACTACAGGAGCAATTTGTAATCAAGATATATCCCTTGACTGCAAACCTGCTTGACAGGGGAAAACATCATCCCTATCACGTTCTACAAAAACTTATTTTTGCCTACCAACCACACCTTCATCTTGTCCAACTTCAGCTTCTATTATTTTTTTCACATACAAGTCCCATTTTCTGCCAGATACAATGTCACATAATGGACTCCTCAATATAGCATATCATCTGTAAATTAAACCCTATAAACTCTTTAGATAATTTGAAAGAGGGAGCTCCATCATTGTTCCTCACACAGTGGCACACTGTACTACTTGATTAGACTGAAAACAATTATATATTTTTTATCTGTAAGCTACAGATTTTCTGAAATTAGATTTATAGCAAAAAATAGCAAAGACTTTCAGATCCAAAATAACTAAATTTATTGAGATGTAAAAGGAAAATGTCTGTGAAGGTGTACTATGCTTTGGCTCTGACCCTCACTAAAGTCCATCAAAAACAAGTGTTTTAGTTCCCAGCTCTTAGCTTTTGAAGTGTCAGCATGCTGCCTCCCATAGCCTACCAGCCCTCAGGGAGCAAAAGACCAGAATTTTAAATTCAATTTTAGATCATAGCAGTGAAGGACTGCTATGCCATGGATCCAGGCTACCCTGTTCTTACAACCGAATGAAATTTAGGCTACTTGGGCTGCCTCCTCTGGAGCACAGCAGTTCAACTTTTCTGTATCTAGTATTCATTCAAATAAATTAAATGAAAAACTTCTAAAGCCTACGCTGAAACAATTACTTCATTGTGTTCTGTGTTCATAAAATGGGATTGGAAGAACTGTACCAATACATAATTCTATGACTTAGAATATGGAAGAATCAGGTTATCAAATTCAAATAACTGGAATGACTGTACCACCTGCATGCTGAGTAAGGGTCAGATAATAAGCAAGAACATACATTTTTACCTCTAAGAAAATGAGGCCAGACAAAATATAAAAAAAAGTTGAGAAACATTTACTTCAAGTCAGGTAGCTGTGTGTCAAAATCAGGAAATTCTTCAGGCAATGTAATGGAATTATAAGCAGCTTCAAAGCTCTCTTCTGGAAGATCAACAAGTCCTAAAAGAAATGGAAAACATAACAAAATGAGCAGTGATAAGGAGTCATGTTCTCACAAGTGTTTACAATAAGACTGTTAATCTATCAAGGAATTCTGTTGCCATCATCAACTAAGTTTGCCATTGTCATTAGGACCCCAAAATGGAATTTAATCTTTAATTTATGTACATTTCAGAGGCATACTATTTATTGGCATACATACAAATGAAAATGCCTGAAAAATGCTAGAGGTTCTGAAATGCTGTCAATCTACTGGAACTACTGTAGAACTGATGAATGAAATTGTTTTTAATTGTTCACTTTATTAATGTAACTTCATAAGTAAAGTTTTATGAATGAAACAATATTCATTCATAAAACCGGTTACCCCAATAACTGGCTAATTAACAATTAAGATGCTTGTTAAGAGCCATAGCTGTTCAGTCAGCTGCCTTTGTAAGTTTCACTATCAATCCAATTCCTGCTTAAATAGACTTGCACTGTTTCAGTATTGTAACTTCTGTTCACCATTTATTACACTTGCCTACAGTGTAACTTCTGTTCACTGTTTGCCATCCATTATACTTGTCTATATTGTAACTTCTGTTCACTGTTTGCCATA